ATATTTTGGAGTATGACATTCTTCTTACCTCCCCTTGATAAAACATAGGCTGTGACTACACAACATTAAAATTGCTGATTGATTTAATTATAGGACCACAATTCCTTAACCAAAATCCTTAGTGATGGGTGATTTTCAGGATTCAAAATATTTTATATTTTAAAAAGAAAGTACTATGTATTTTGTTACATAAGCATGGTCTGGTGTAGGATCTTAAAAATCAAAGACATCACTATGTCTGCACCAAAACATAAAGAGTATAAATTGCCTCACATCAGTTCAGGTCAAGTTTTTGCCACTAAATGAATTTGTACTAATCTTATGAAAAAAACAGTTGGGTTTTAAAGGTTGTTTTTTATTTGGATACTGTAGTTGTAGGTAAAGAATTATGTGCTTATTGGTTAAATAAACGGTGACTCTTTTTTTAAATTCCAACCAATTATGGAAAAATGTTTTGGTTTCTTTTCTCTCTCTCTTTTTTTTTTTTTTTTTTTGCTTTTTAGCTTAATTCTATTGCTTGTATAAATAACTGTAAATGAATAGTATATATGTTTGAGGAACAAGAACATTTATGTATGTTTCATTTAATTTCAATAACACTGCATTCAGACAGGTATTATTCTCAGTTTACAGATAAGAAAATTGGGGTTTGAAAAATTAAATTGCCTGTAAAAAGTTAAGTTGTGACAGACCCCATATTCAAGCACTTGACATTTACACTACTTGACTGCAGAGTCCACTGTACCACACAACCAATACCAACAGAGCCAAAGACATAAATATATCTAGGTTAACAAACCAAACCAAAACCAATGCCTTCAAGTCAATTCCCACTCAAAAAAGATCTTCATACCCATCTTTAAGGAAAGTAATTGGAAGAATATACTATAAACTACCTCAGAATTTCTTCTAACAATATAACAGCGTAGCACTGTGAATAAACTATTACTTTGTTCAAATAAATATTTAAATAAACATTTCATTAATACATAAAACACGTATTGTAGGTGTCCAGAAACCAACGTACTGAGAATAGTCAAGAAGAAAATTTGAAGGGAAGGTCCTTTAAAGACTGTCTTGCAAGGCTCTTCAGCTGGATAATGGGAGTAAGCCACTGCGAACACCTTCAGTTAAGGCGATAAACGTATGTGCGCAATAGCGCACTGGGGTTGGACTTGATTTGCAAAACTATGGCAAATACAGAAAAATGTCTCCTTCTGTGCAGGTTTCCATTACAACCAAAAGAGATTTAGGAACTAGAGCTTATTATTATTATTATTTAGCTTTCAAATATATTTTATTTTTTCACTGAATTTTTACTCATTGATGAGAGTTTAGAATTTCTCAACCAGATTGCTCTTAATAATGGCTTTTCTAGTTTTCCTGTTTTAACTCGGAACACTTCCCCGGGGTGCTCTTTTTGCATTTTCTTCTATGTTTTCCAAGAGGAGTAGGTGAGTAGCAGATTTCATCAGGTGGCAAGTCATCACCAAATTTTCATGTCATAAATAAATGACAGTTTTGTTTTAAATAACATTTTTAAAAAGAATTACAGAGTATAATTTCTACAAATGAGATGTAAATACTAGAGTTTTTTATGCAGCAGTTAGAGCTTTAAAAATCGACAGTCTTCAGATTTACTGAGTTTAAGAATCCAAAACTACTTTTTAGAAACAAATTATTTTTCCATGGGACCCCTGCACTCAAGGACTGGACTTAATATTTCGCTCCCTGGTTTGCTGTGGACTTGAATGAATGCTTTCTAATGAGTGTTTCATGTAGCATATTCTAATCTTCAGGTCATTCAGTTCAAACTCTGTCATCTCCACGGTAAGCCTCCGTATGTGTAATTGCTGAAGGTACTGGTAATTGTTGTGCTGATACATTATGTGACCACTTTCTTCTTGTGATTCTGATTTAAACTTTCATGCATGAGTCTTTGGTTTGCTTATTCCCTGTTTGAACTGTCATCTACTAATAAGATTTAATATTGCTTATTTAGAATTCAGCCAGATTAAAAGATGAAGTTCCTTGTCAGACAGTTAGATTACCTCACAGGGAGTCTGTTCCTCAGGAAAGGGGGTCTGAAAATATAAAATGCAGTTCATATTTTTTATGCTACTAAAAAAAATGCGATGGGGAAATGACCAGTATCATAGCTCCCCCCCCATAGGAATTATGTTGTCTATGTATATTTCACAGTACTCATTAGCATACCTTGCTAATGTAATTTTTACAATTTAGAATCGTAGAGTTTTATAGGTAGGAAGGGCTTAGCGTTTATCTTGCCCCTTCTCTAGATTCCTTCAGGGAAACCCATTGCTAAGCTAGAATTAGTCTTATATTTAAAAGCCTGCTGAAATAAATAACCCATCGTCCTCATTCTATAGTATAGGTTCATTTGTTCTTAGTGAAGTTAATGAATAGATGGCTCCTGTCCCTTCTGCGTACTCCTTTCATATACTTAGAACCTATTACTCAATTTCCCTTTAATTTCTTTTTCCTATGTACAGTCAGTTCAGTGTTTCATTTTCGTCTGTTTATCTCTCTGCTAACAATGACCGCCTTTAAATGATGAGCCTGGAGCAGGATCCTTCTAATTCAGGTCTAATAGGAAAAAATCATCTGGAAGGTTAAATTTAAGTGGGATCTGAAATAGAAAGGGTGCTAGTCTGAAACAGCTAGAATTTCCCCTCAGAGACCTGAGATCTAAAAATATAGTTTGTCTGGACACAAATTCTTATCCATGTAGGTTAACTTAGTAATGATTTGGTATAAGGAAAAAATGGTAATATATTTTTGAATTTATGGGCAGTGAAAGGAAGATGTAGTGGCAACCCAACATGTGATTTTAATTACCGAGGCTGAATTCCATTATTTTCCAAGATCTCAACAGCACTTAGATTTTAATGCCTCATTACAACCTTGTTTGGGACAGTCCTGATACACATGGACAGTCCCTGTGTATTATTAGCTCCTCCCTTTCCCCTTAGTATATCCAGGGTTAGACAATAAATTACAGTCACACTATAGTCATTGCACATTCGTCCTCACTCTCTCCAGCTTGCACTTGTATGCTTGGTTTTTCCTCTGCTTGTGTTTTGCCTTGCATTGATCATCAGTGATTTGTTTCTGATCACGACTCTGCTTTAGTAAGGTCTTTTAATATTTCAATTGTGTATTCCAGGGTGATGGTTGTCCCCTTCACTTCGGATCATTTTCAGCTAATTTAATAAGCCTTTTGGATACTTCATTATCCAGGTCAAGGACGAGAACATTGATACCTAAGCCAGGGGCCTTTGGAGCACTGTCCTTTTTTCCCCCGTCAGTTTTTATCTCCTTTCCTCTCTGCACTGTCACTTTTCATCCTTTCCCTACCCTCCAGTTACCACTGACCGATTAATCTTCAGTTTATAACTTAACGTCTTTCAAGCAATTACTGTGTGCTAGGTCCTGTCCAGAGGTGTGACACTTCTGTCAGCTTTGTGCTAAAACACTGTGTATCAGATTGTATTTTCTCAGTTCATAGTTTTCAAATCCCCGTGGGGCCACTGGAAATAAAACTATTTCGACAGTTCTTAGGGTTTTGATTCAATCATAGTGCATTATATAACTCTGACAAGTCTTTTTTGTCCTGAAGTCATGCTTGCATTTTTGTAAGGAAAACTCAAGAAAGCTTACAGATGAGCTACGGAATTTCCCAACATTTTCATCTTGTTTTTTTATGGGAAATTAAAGTTTCTAAACTCTTATTAGGAGCTAGTGAAAAAGTAAGCATGCTCTGTTCACTACTAATTCTTACTAATATTGTTTTTCCTCGAGGTTTAAGTGGTCAACCCTAAAAATAAGCGGCCTAAACAGTAGTCAATGATAACCTTCTAGCTATGTTTTAATATACATAAATTCAGTACAAATGAATTTTAATTTATTCATACCAATTTAAATATGTTTTAGCTAATTAAAATGCTTTCTTTTAACTTGAAAAGATCTACAAGTATGTACAAGAAGTCTCATGGCATATATTCATTATATGAAGTTCTATTTATGGTATCTTTATAGTATAAAGAGTCAGTATAGCAACATGATAAAGTTAACTAATAACACTGAATTGCACATGTGAAGAATGTTGATATGGCAAAAATTTTGTCACATATATATTTACCACAATAAAAATAAAATAAGATAAAACAAAGGAAAAAAAAGATTCAATGTAAATACTACTGTGAGGACATTCAAAGCAGGTAATGTGATGATCAAACCCTTTTATAATGCTGCTGTTATTGGTGGGGGCTATCACTAATGTTAGATCTTGATATAACTCTATATGTGGCATGATTAATTGTTATATACATTTTTCACTGTAATAATTTCAGCACCATGAGATGCCCTGTTGCATGCTTAAATCCATTTAAAAATTAGACATTCCACAGGTTTCCTCGTACACAATTGTGTTACTTTTGGGGACAAAAAACGGCTCTGTAAAGAATTATATGGTTGAGGTAAACAACAGAGATTGCAGTCTGGAGTCTGAATTCATGCATCAAAAATGAAGTGTGTTTAAGAAGCTTTTTGTCAACTAGCAAATGCCATTTCAGTCTGAGCATTTCACCACCTCATTCTATGCCATCTGTCTCACAGGGCACAATTAATCTGAAACCCCAACATGCAGCATTAAAATCTCATTAACAATGAACAGAATATTAACATGTCTGGCGTTGCCATTTTTATCTTTCCAAATTTCAGTGTTAATTTGGAATAAAGCAGATATAACATTTTATTCTAGCTGCTTAATTAAGAACCTTGCCTAACATATACCATTAGCAGCTAAAATTATGTAATAACATAGAATTTAGTTTAATAACGCTGTATGTTTTTGCAACTTGAGCATATATGGATTATAGTGTTGCATTAGGCTAGCAATTATTTGTAAAAGCACTAAACATTTTATAAAACCCATTTCCCCAAGACTCTGACTTTGCAATTCTTTTTTCTTTTTGCAGAACCACATCACCGCCTTCGCAGAAGTCACATGATATTGAAGCAGATGGTCTTTCCCTGCATTGGACATCATCCCTTTTCACCATCCACTCATAGCGCCCAAAGTTTGTTTGATCACAAAAGAAGTTTTTAAAGTCATCTAATAATTTTTATAATTTTAAAATCAGTGTCAACCTATCTGTTTCCCCCACTAGACTGTGAGCTCCTCGAGGGCAGGATGGTGTCTTTCTTCTTTGAATCCCTACCACCTACAACAATGCCTAGCACAAAGTAGGTGTTCAATAAAAAGTTGACATCCAAATGAACAAATTAATTCTTAAATAAGACATTCACTTTAGTTTCTCACAGCATCATTGTAACTATGTGAAAAGAATCCTCTATATGATTCATATTTGTATAAGAAGACCCTCCATTTGGGATTTCTTATAAAAGCTAGTTAAGCTTTTTACTTTTTCATTTATCTGTTCAGCAGTATACCATAGTTAATTTGAAGTGGACTTTGAAAGTCATGGGGGTTTTTATTTTATAATTCAGCATGACATTATTTCCATTCTAACAGATTTCAGTGTGTGAAATTACTTTTAGAAAGTATGTTCTATACTAAAATAATGTTTGCACATTATATTATGCTATATTTCACTTAAAATACCATTCATACTATACATTCTAAGACTGGTGCTTCTGCTTTTGAAGGGGAAAAATGCCAATTTTTACTGTAATAAGTAATGTATCATAATTAAAAATTATTTATTTGGACTTTTTTTCTGAAAATTGTGGTTTGATTGTAGACTTACAGTTTTTGAATGCAGGCAGTATTTAAGATAGTTTAAATGAGTCAATTCAGCAATGGTACACATTACTGAGCAATCTTCTCTTGGTAACAGTGTCTCAAGAGTAGTTAAAGGCTCCATTCTTAGGCTTTTTCACTAGTCAAGATTCCATGTAGTTTAAATGGGAAAGAACCACACCTTGACACATAATTTACATTGTATGAAATGGTTAGCTTATTTTACTTTTCATTTGTGTAGTACTTTATAGTTTACAAAGTACATTTACATTCATTATTTCACTTAACCCTCAGAATTACCCCATGTAAATGTTAAGAGTATGGCTTTAGTTTTATAGACAAGAAAAATGAAACCAAGACAGGGTAAATAACAAGCCCAATTCCACACAGCAAGTAAGAGGCAGGGTTAAAACTTAAATTCAGGTGTTCTGGCCCCAAACTAGTATTCCTTTCAACTATGCCACAGCTGCCATATTATTTTGAACACATCGAGGCCTTTCGGAGGTCAGTAAAGTCCTTTAAAACTACCTAAGTTTTAACAAATTAAGAAATGCCAAAATAGAATTACAAAAGCTATGTGGTATTTTAATAATGAACACTTTTAAGATATGCAAATATATAATGATCTATTTATAATTCTATTTAATAATAATGTCAAGCGCCTGGATGTGAGGCCCTTTATCAAGGCAAAGCCTACATCAAATGGCTCTCTTGCCACCCTCATCCTTGGTCCCCAAACCCCAACCCTTCAGGAGAGGTCCCAAGGAACATACCTTATACCGAGCATTGGGAATTAAGGATGAAAACCGTGATAATACAAGGAAGATGAACTGGACTATGAGAAAGTCGTTAAATATACTTTTCAACAATAACTGCAATCTTTAAAACCACCTTGAGTAGCTCAGGCTTATATGAGCAGTAGTTAATTGACTGAAATGAATCTTTCTAAACTTGACAGTATTACAGAAAATAAACCTTTAGCTTTCTTCTTTAATTTCAA